TTAGTTGCCATGACTGATGATATACTTCACAAAGATTTGTGAGGTTTTTGGGTTTTGTTTGTTTGGCGGGAGTATTAACGCGTAGCAGTAATCCATTTTAAAGATGAAAATATACACGGCAATTGTTTTGAAATTTGTTTTCACTGCTATAAAGCTTTTGTTTAAATACTTCTCATCTGGTACTGTTATCATGGAACTGAAGTAACCCAGCAGTAGCCTTACTTAAGGTTAGCTGAATATATCTGATCCTCCAGCATTAGCTGAAGCCCTTCCTTCCTGCCGCAGGATAAATATTTGCGTTTTGTTGGACAGGATGGGTTCCTCTGTGCTACTGAAAAAAACGCACTGGCTTCTGCAACCTAGTTTAATTGAAAAACCTGCCTGTGAATCGTATTTCTTAATTTAATTCTACTCTTGCATTGACACCAAATTTGCCTGTGTACGTAGGAGGGAAAGTGAGCTTTCCCACATCATCCCTTCTCCGTTGCACACAAAAATAAACACATAACCCTGAAGGGTCCAGATGAATTCACAAATCTGTCTGCTGTTCTGTTTGAGCACCCGACTGTGTGATGCTCTTAGCTTTACAAGAACATCATCCGTCTGTATGATGTTTTCCCATTTTAATAAATATTCAAGTGGAAGTTTTCCTTTTCTACCTTTTAGGAAAGATTTAGCTAACAGGTGGTACCTGTTTTCCTGGACAGAATATCTGTTCTCTAACAATACTGCCAAACAACTGCCACTATCGCTGTGGTTGAAAGAAGAGCACACGATTCCTGCCTGTGAGCTTAGCCCTCTCCTCGGACCTGAATCTGACCCACTTTCTGGGGATAGCGCAGGGGTCTGAAACTGCGAGTTGAGTTGCCGAAAGAGGACTTTCCAAGCGTTGAGCACCTCTCCTAAGCGCACGCATACCTCCATTGTGCAAGTTCCCCTCGACCAAATTGGTTCCCCCAGCCTGGGGAGGGTGCCCGCCTCTGTGCACAGCACCAGTCATCTCTGCCGCCGGCACACGCGGAGCCAGCTCCTTCCTCGGGCTTTTCTGACCAGTTCCCGTGTCCCTGCTGTCCTCCTAGAGTTAATATTAGCAGAGGAAGAGAGCTTTCCAGTCAAAGCTTCTTCTAAGCTTTTGATGTGGAAGTCAAGGAGACTGGAGGGAAGAGTGCTTGGCCTGACAGAGGAATGATCTCGCTGGATTCTCGTAAGAGATTAATCCACCAGCGACGATATGACGATGGGCTCACAGAGCCGCTTCACTGCTCCTGGGCAGCTGGAGGGAAGGGAAGACGTCGGTTAACTTCGGGCCTCTGCCGTAGGAAAAGCTGAGTCAGGAGATGATAGAGGTCCTCTTTTTGGGTCAGGAGTAAATAAACTCATTTTCCTGGTTTTGTCCATCTGGTATCTCAGCAGCTGGCTCTTGGGGAGCAGGCTCTGCTGTCAGCAGCCTTGGAAGCGCCGGTGCCCCAAGCCAGTGGCTCTAGTAGGTGTGTAACGCGTGCTTGGTGTACTCCGTGAGCCCTGAGCGGGGGGGGGGGGATTTGCGTATGCTTACTTCTTAGAGCCCACCCAGTTAATTCAGTTTTCTTTGTTATTATCTACAGTTCAGAAATACATGCAAAAATCAGTAAGAGATTAACTTCCAACAAAATACTCAGCTTGGAAGCAGTACTCGTTAGGGGTGTGTTCACGTCTGATTATAAACTGTAAAAGCAAGTGTGCCACACAGGGTTGCTGTACATGCATAGTTCTTTTGAAATGTGATATTTTCAAGTAATGTACAAATTAAGGGGCTGTTACTCTTGATCTGCTCCTTTAGAGTACAGCAAGTCATAACATCTGAGAAGTGGGCTCTTGACTTTTTGCTTCCTAAGACGAAATTGCAGATAAACAGCACAGCAGACAGAAGTATTTCCTTCGTGTGACATTATTAATAGTTCACGACCCATCATGAAGGAGGACAGGGGCTAAATGTTCCCTTTGGCTCCATGTAGATCATATCACCTCCTGGTCCACGTTCTGTTTCTCGTTGTAGGCAGGAGTGTGTCTCTACCTATAGACTGAAGCCAAAACCTTAGACGTCCCAAACTGCTCTTTATGTGATAATGGTTTTCAGTCCAGTATCTGACTTAAAGATTAAAATAATTTCATGGTTTTTAACTTAGCTTTCAGCACGTGGATGTATTGCATGGCTCACTATAAAGAAGCATGTATAGAAAGCTAAGGTCCTTTAAGCATAGCTATCTTATATAGATTCTGAAAAGCTATTTCTATTTTAATCTTGTTTTTAAGTAACTGCTAGTGCTTATGGAAAATATGTCATTGATGCCTCTGGAAATTGAGATATCGCAGTTCCGTTTCCTGGTTTGTTTTTCAAATGTTAACCTGAGCTTATATGGGCATTTCTGTTGTAATTCTTAAAGCTGCTTGGTTTTCAGGATTTTTTTGCAGACAATTAGTCCTTCCAGGGTAAGGTGCAGTAAAATTTTTGTGAGGGACTGGTCATATATCCTTATTTTATGAAGGCTATTATATACAGGCTTAATTTAGGATGTTTTCGTACTTATAATTGAGCTAGTTGTGTGGGAATCAGTTTTTCCTAATAATGGATTAGAACAATATTTTACACAGCAGTAAGAAACCCAGAGGACTGTATTTTAATTGATTACTGCTCACCTGTAGTATTTGATATATGATTCACTTGACAGTTATACACTTTCTACACAGAAGCTCAGCGTTTTCAAAAATGGGTGCCTAAAATTAGAATAGTAAGTCCCTGCTTAGTTCCAAACTTCAGCTGGCTCTAGGGAAATAGACTGTACAGTAAAAGTAGATTCAGGCCTTTAGGTACCAATTAAATGTCCTAATCAGACAAATAGTGATTACAAAAACTCTGGACGGTGGAAAAGGGAACAGCTTTCACTGCTGGTATAAAAGGCTTGATATCAAGTAGGTTCAAGGTTATAAACACAAGATATAAAAATAGGATGGCAGGATCTCAAGGAACATACCAAGGATGTGTTGCTCACCTGGCACGTGTTAGTGTGATCACTGATGATCCTGAGTTATCAAGTGGTCCTTAAATGTGAGCTAACCCTCTTGGTTCCGGATGCTTTCTTCTTTTCAGCTTCTCTTTCTGCTCAGTGCAATTATAACTCAGTGGTTCCCAGTTCAACCCGTATTGTATAAACTCCTGTCCTTACTACCACACACTCGTGTGAATGAATAAATTCTCAAAGAACCCTTTCAAATTTATGAGATACAGCATATCAGATAAGTATTTCACTTATGATTTGGGGCATTTTGAAACAGTTGAGGAGAGCGAGGAATTTGTTGTCATCAATCTGGAAACCTGGTGGGAGCTTAAAACACAGTAATAACGGGGCTGCTCTTGTTTGTATAAGCAATAGCTGTGCTGTCAGCATTATGGGATGCATTGTGCTCTTATCAGAGAACCCACAGAGCTTCATGAGTTGTTTCCCAAAACTGATTGCTGTAGGACTGGCAGATGCAGACGTTTGCCCTTCACAGCAGATAATAGCAAAGCTAGTCTTGAGCTGCTCGCTAGTAAGGAGAATGAATTATACAAATGCTCCCCAATCAACTCCTTTTTTCTGTTTTTTGGTATACCAGTGTATAAATGTGTGGAAGTCGAGAGGTGTCTTTGTAGGGGAGGTATATGTTTGTGAAGAGGACAGGGAGATGGAGAGAGGACAGCTGAGATGGTTATGTCACTGTGATACGTTAGGAATGGTTGTAAGTGTTTACCTTGTAGATGTTTGCCAGAGTATTGGAACAGTTCCAGGTGCTGCCATTTTCCTGATTATTCTATAACTAACTCCATACAAATGCAACAAATTTTGGATTGACCCTTTGCATCGCACTCGATGAGTTCGTGATCTCACATTGTAAATATTCATTATTCTTATGACATGGAAATGAATTCTGAGTGGAAAAAAATGCACAGAGCATCCCTTCAGAATTAGAGAAAAGAAAACCAGCTTTCAGGAAAATGCAAGGATTATGAGCGTCTTACAAACTTTATTACTGTTTATATGTTTTATTTTTTGCATGGAGCGTAACCTAATGGTATACATCATTAAGTGGAGAACTGGATCAACTGCAAATGCAAAAGAAGTCCAGAGAGAGAATATTTTCTAAATCTTCCACGAGTCTGTTGGTTTGGGGAGGAAAAAGCATAAATGGGAGGGAAAGGAGGCAGACAATGTAGCCTTTTTTGTTTTGTTTAACACAGTTTTCTTTTTTACTTACGTGGTTTGTAGGTTATGGAGGCTTTATGCGTGACTTACAATTCTCCTCTGCCAGAATTACTGCTGAACCAAAGCCTGCTTTGACCATACTAATGACTCTTTACTGAAATATTTCATGTACTGGCATCCAATAACTTAAATATTGCTATTTGCAAATAGTCCTGAACTGATTTGGTCTCTCTGTTATTTCTAACTTAATGGTTCACCCTGTTCTGTTTTCCAGTTGAGCTATCAGTTGCTTAACAGGAATGTTTTATTTGTGTTAATTTAGAAAGCGTGATGTCCAATGCCAGCTGTCCCATGCCAGCACAGCGTGTACTGTCCTTTAAGCCAAACAGACAGAGCTTAATGACTAATGAGCTGACCATTGGTATTGTCGTGAATGTTTTCCATTAATGCCTCTGCAGGTAGGGCAGCAGCAAATGGAAAGCCAAGCTCAAGAAAAAACAGTGGTGTCTCCGGGGTCTTAAAAATTAATAGTGAAAAACGTAAATAGGGGAGAAGATAAAATTTTTGTCTCGGTAGCTACGCTTGCACCAACACATATTTAGCGGGAAGTTTTAGGTGGCTTTTTGTCTAACAAGCGGGGCCATAACTCCCCCCCCTCAGTGTTTTCCTTCCATTTCTAACTTCATTGCATTTCTTTTTCTGGAGACTCACGTCGTTTTCTCTTCCACCTTCTCTCTTTCCATCCCACTGCATGCCTCTTTCCTTGGTCTGACCTCAGAGAGGAGGAAGAGTGTGAAGAGGAGGAAGAAGAACAGCCAGTCACAGAGCCCAATACTGAGGATGAGGGGGAGGAAGAGACCAGTAGGCAGGTCAAAGCCAGGTACTGGGATTCAACATTGTCCCTCACCTTTTCCTCAAGCTCTGGCATGAGCTCACCAGCACAGCGTGCGGCAGCTTCTGCCTTTCACTCACGTTCCTAGATCACCTGTTAAAGCCACCCCCGAGGAAATCTTTTTGCATTTAAAAACTTTGTCGGGCTGTGTGTGTGTTAATGGAAGCGTGTTTAATTGTATAGGCTCAACGCACTAAGAACTGTTTGCGCACACTCCCTTTGTACAAAATGAGTAATGCTCACAAATCTTAAACGATTTAGCAGAAAGCATAACTTCTAAGCATGGCTTAGGTTTATCTTCTTAGTTAAGGCAATGGTGAAACATTGCAGCGCTTTGCTGAGGATGTTGCTTGGTTTTGTAGGTTTTCATCCCTGTTTTCACGATACAACCTTATTAGCAATATCTGTCGCTATGGAGAATATTGACTTTTTTTAATGCTGCCTATGATTTCTATCAATTTTGTTCATGTTTTAATAGGAAAGAACTACTTTGAGGCAAAGCTGAGAGATATATATATATATATATCTCGTTTTATACATACCTGCCCATCTGTGTATATATGGATATAAACAAGCCACCTATCCAAACAATATTCTCATGTAAAATTTTCCACTTATTTCTGAGGTATGTATAGATTTGGCATCTGGCAGCTTTATCCTAATAAATTGGAAGAAAGAAAATATGTTCTTTCTTCCAGACAGCCATTTGATTTAGGTTAAATTGTTTGGCTTTGCAACTCAGCAAATGAGATTGGATTTTTTTTTTTTTTTTAAATAAACCACATTCATGCAGATGCTGTACAGCACGGAAGGAAGAAAGGAAACTGTTTAATGTGTGAATTCCAAAGAAAATACTGCACTGTTGTTATTAATATCTTCCAGTCTGCAAATCTTGCCAATGGCAGCCTGAAATTTCAAAATTAAGTGATAATTTCCTCAAATCCAATTCTTAAAAGTCAAAGCTAAGGCATAAGTTATTAGTAAATCGCATGAATACACTAAAATACTGTTAAAAAAAATGAGGAAGAGCCACGTAAAGGGCGTGATGCGCTTTTAAGTCATTGGTCTCTTAAAATAATAATCACTTTGAGATAACTGGTCGATATTCCCATAGCTTTTCTAAATACCTCCTTTCACTGTCACTGTAGCATAACAAAAGCGATCTGTACCATGGCCGTTCGCGTTAGATGCTGTCAGGACAGGTAGGACCAGCCTGACTTCAGTGACCGCTGTCATGCAGAGCTCATGTGAGAGGTGAAGGTTTCCAGACTGCCCGTGGCGCTTTTACCTGGTATATACCTGGTGATTAACTTCATAATATCCTAACATATATAACACGCATTATGTTTTTGTTGCATATGCTGTGCCCAACCCGCACTCCTCAGAGGAGGGCCATGCCTTGCGTGCCCGTAGGTGGGTTGCAGAGGCGATCTCAGGAGAATGAAATCACCCACCTGCCGCGTGATCCAGCCCAAAGCCCATGCACGGTGTTTATGGTGGAGATAATAGCGAAAACAGATATCCCAGAGTGCAGATCCCATGGCTTTTCGTCTGCCTTGCCGCTTCTGTCGCTCACCGACACCTGCCTTCGCCAGGGCAAAGCAGATGTGGTTTCTGTTGCACTTGATGCAACTCCGCAAGTCTATCTAACACCAACGTGGGATGCTGGCACTCAGAGAAATTAGTGTCTTTATACCTAGGCAAATGATCTGGTAAGGTGTTGCTTTTGAAATCATTCTAAACCTTAATTTTGACAGAACAGTGCTGATTGAGTATATTTGATTTTCATCTTTGGTGGATGAGCATTTTTAGTAAAAAGATCAGCTCACCGGGGAAGATGATAATCGGATATCTGGCCTTCTAGAGGCAGTCATGCAGATTGTATCTTGAAGCATCTATACTCTCCAGACCATGTTATCTAGCGTGTTGAGACTGCTTTGTACTGCTCTGACAATGCTTACAACCTAACTTGAAATACTTGAAAATTGTTCAGAAAATGGTTGTGAAAAGGTTCGTGAAAATTAGTTCTGAAGCCTGTGGGTTAAATCCCTTCCTTTCCTTTAAGCTGAGTGGTTTCCATTCCTCAGTATTTCCAACCCTAAGAATAACCCCACTGGGATACAAAGAGGTGAGTTCTCTTACTTTATGTGCAAAGACATGATGATTGTCTAAATTTGGGAATTTTTTGCTTGTCTGACTCTCCTTGACTTTATTTTTTTTTTCCTCCAAGTGGTACTATGTATTGATCTCTCTTTTCCCCATTTTTCTCTCCTTTCCTTCCCTTTCTCACGATATTTTCCTCCTGCAGTGGGGTCCCAGGTGCACGGGAGGCTGTGAATGAAAACCTTTCACGGTGTTCTGATTCTTCAACTGTCTCCAGTGCCATTTCTCCAGCTGAGAGGCCTCTCTCCTGCTCTAAAGCAAAGAGCTCTTCTAGCAGCTCCTCTTCTGTGCCTGACTCATCTGTCTCTCATCATAATTCTGTCCTTTCATCACCATCTTCACCTGCGGCAGCATTGCTAAGCTCTTCCCAAAATTCATCAGCATCCATTACTCCAAAGGCATCTCCAACGGTGGAGAAATTACCTTATGTACCACATACTCCTTTTCACCTCTTCTCGTACGATTTTGAAGAATCTCCAGCATCTGTGAAAGAAAAGGAAGCAGAACTGATGAGGGAAAACAGGTAGATTTTATACAGCTGACATTAATTTTTAGATAAATGAGTAACACCTTTCAAGAGTTTTATAGTAGTAATAATGCACTGTGTTGTATTATTTGCAGAACATACTGTATTAGTTTTAGTCCTGTAAGCCTGTATTTTGATTTGATTGATATTCTCCCCTTGCCTTTGCTGCCTTCATTTCGTCTTACTCCTCCTCAAGGTCAGTAGTTAATAAATATCCTGGCCTCCCTGTACAGCAGGAGATAAATAACCTGTGATTTGGGAGATCACAGAAAGGACCACCATTTTGCTGTCATTTACAACAATGTAATTTGCAGACATGATTTCATGAAAATTAATGGAGCTCTTCTGCTATAAAACCAAGAGAGATCAGATCAGCACTTGGAATTCAGGGGTGAAATCCTGGCTTCAGACTGAACTGCCAAATCCCAAATTTGTTGTTAGATTACAGTGCACATCCCTGTCATTTGCAATTTCAACTCGTGCTTGTAATAAGAGAAGTAGATTAAACCCTGTAAAGAGAATATAGCGCTCAGAATAGGCAGTTTCCCCTCCGCAACATCTGCTCAGTTCAATTGCTCCTCATGTATTTCTCTTAGTTTTTATTTTTTATTTTTAATATCTCCATCCCACACATTTAAAAACAAAAAGAAATTGTTTCATTTCAATCTGTTTTCAAGTAAAACAGATTAGCAATACGTGGCACTAAAAACAATGTTAGAGAATCACCTTGAAAAGAGTTTGATGACTTTTAGCTGTCTCTCCCAGCGGTCAGTGTTCTTTGAATTAGGTGCTGAAAATGTACACGTATATTGTGAGTGTATTTATTTCTTCCTTTTTCCAGCAGTCCTTCTGAATTTCTGCATGTGAACAAATATTTTGATTCCTTTGATCCTTTTAATTTTCGATCTTTCTCTTCTAATAGGTGGGTGGTTTTTGTCACTTTTTCATTTCGCTGAAAAGACTGTAAATCCAAGTAGCTGTTGACAAGGGACTTAGTTCACATATCTTTCCTTACCTGCAGCTTGAACACTAGGATTCCTATAAATTTACATTTTCCTGCATAGGTGCAATTTTCCCTGAGGCCTCTCACACTCATTTATTGCTTTCTCATTGCTGCGGCTGTTAGTTATACTTCTTAGAGAGTAGATACCCGTTCCTGGAATATTTAGTATTTCTGCAGTGATTTATTTTCCTCTGACCATCCTTGTGCTTCTAGTTACCACATAGGATCAAGGGCATGGTGTGGGGGGAGGATTGTGATGGGTTTATTTGGAGAAAAAGGAGGGCAAAGCTTGCACGATTTGGGTAGTAATGTGTTCATAAAAGAGGTAAACAGGGTTTCTTCAGAGTGAAGGCTCCTGGGACAAGGCTGTTGCATCTGCATTAGTATATGAGACAAGAAGGGAAAATGGAAGGACTAGCCACTACCAGCGGAAGATTAGAAAGATAAATATTGTGTACAGGATACAGACTTGCCCTGGTGTGCTGGTTTTGCCTTGCTGCTCTTCCAGCATCTCTGTCTCCTTCTAAATTTGATACGTAGGGATGCCGTGTCCAGGCCAGTCCCTCTGAATTTGATTTTGTTAATGCTTGTAGGTCTCAGTCCATAGAAGGTATGTTCTCTCCATTTTCATGAGGGTTATCTTTGGAGTAATTGAAATTCCTTGGTCTGAAAAAGGATTCTGCACCGTCCCAGCTTTTTCATGGGGCGGAGGAGAAGAAAAGCGAGTGTAATGGTTGATAAGAAGGTCTTCTTTCAGTTGACTGAAATGGAAAGGGAGGTTTCTGTTAGTGTCAGGAACGTACTGAATGAGCTCCCAGTTGTTTTCGGGACAAGAAGTTTTCTCATCTCTCACTCAGTACGAGCAGAGGTAGAACATTTTGTGAGCTGAGCCTGCCCAAGAGAAGACCCAAGCCAGGTCTGTGCTACCAGGGAAGTCCCACACTGTCCAGCTATGCAGCCCTCCACCGGGCCACTGTCTCCAGTTTCTACTTAGTTTTCTTCTAGGGCAGGAATGCCACGAAGGCAATTATTTCCTGCAAAATTCCTTTTGTAGCTCAGAAACGTGCACGTTAGCGTTTTTTTCCAAAATTACTCCCCTGTTCCTGGGTAGTCAGCATAGCGTCTCAAAAATAGATGGTCGTGGTGATGGCATGTTTTCTAAAACATAAACCTGGAATTGTTGCCAAAGGGGGCATGTTCTCTAAAGCATGATCCCTTCCATTATAAAAACCCCTAACTAAAATCTATTCTGATCTTAATACGGGCCTTGGCAGGCAGCAATGCTGTTTTGTACCCTAAGGAATGAAGCTTGAAACTTTGAATGAAATTTTGCACGGCTAGATGAGTGTGCTAAATGGAGCTGAAGGAAACCAACCAGCCTTTTCAAATAAAATTGCTGAGTGAAATTACTGAGTGCTGATCTGTGTGGTAGAAGAAGCAGCAGAGGAAAGATATGGTGAAGGAGGGTATATTATATCTTAAAAATTATAATAAGGAAAATGATGTTGCCCTTTTTCCTGGCGTGAATTTTTTCATTTGGATGAGTTGGCCTTGCGGAGTACTCACCTGCAGAGCATCATATGCTTTCCACGTGGGAAAACAGTATCGTCTGTGAACACAAATGTTAACATTTTCCCAAATCAGGAATTTCTCCTTGACATGTTAAGTACAATGGTTAAAAGGCATAGCAAAGCAACACGAGTGGCTTTTCTATTTGGTATGGGAGCCAGGATGAAAACATTGATACAGGGGACTCTGGGGAGGTTGCCATTCAACAATTTCTCTTTGATCAGCAAGCTCACATTGAAGCCAAGCAGGTTTGGGGTTGTTTTTTTAATGGAGGGAATGGCCAATAGAAACTTCTAAAGCCATGCTTCCGGAGACATGTCTTTTTAACCATGGTGATGATTTTTTACAGACATTTTAAGAAATGGCACATAAGCTATGACTTATGTTGGGGGGGCGGGGGGAGAGAAAATACTGCCTGCTTTAATTGAAAAGAAGGTGGATGCTTTCCATTTATAACGCAAACATTCGGAAATCATGGATGTCCATGTTCAGATCATGTCTTGGGAACGCTGCTGTTTTCCTTAATTTCACTAGATATGAATACTGCTGACTTGGACTGTTTTGATCCCTTTTCTAACAGCTGGGTATCGGCTCCCAAAACAGCTAATAATTTTGAATAACTGAGCAGTGATTTAAGTATTCCTGCTCTGAGTTGTCGCTTTGGAGGACCATTCTAATCTCTCGTTTTCCATACCAATAGCTCACTATTTGAATCAAGTATGTGTGTGGCACCGTTAATACCAAAATGAGATGATAGGTTGCATATTTTGAAGCTGGGATTAGAGCAGTATTTTCAGAAGGTGGATGTTTGAGAAGTTCAGGGGTATGGGATCACCGCCACCCCCTAAATGAAAGGATTTACTGTTGCATGCCTGCTTGCTGACGGATTCTGTCTGTCTCTCCCTTTCTCCTGCTTTCCTTCCCATTTCTTCAGATACAATAGCTATGGCGGCAGCTCTTACTCTTCTCCGCGACCTTACTCTGGTGTGAGTGCCCCTACAACACCCACTTCTCGTTACGGGACAACTCTCTCACCGCCTCAGGAGACCAAATCTGACAGGTTTGTGAATTAATCAGTGCTTTGACAGTATTTCCTTTATAGACAGGATAAAGGAGATAAGTGTAAGCTGTTCTGAATGGGCACTGGAAATATCTTCTAGCCAGATATTTTCTAAAGTTGGAAAGAAAATGGACAGAAATCTAGACATGTTCTATTCCCCACTCATTCTCAAGCCTTTCTCTGACTTGGTGTTAAAGGCTGGTTGTATTACCGTTGTATTACTTCTGCTTCTTCTACTTAAATGGATAAAACAGAATTGCTTCACACATATGCCGTTCTAAGTATTAAAAGGTGAATTAAAGCACATTTTATTTCTTTCCACTTAAAAAAAAAAAATCAGACAGATCTCTTTTCACTTTTATCATCTTAAATCAACTATAAAATCTTGGAAGGGTGCTTAGCTCAGAATTTCCTAGGCCATAATTTTGTCCTTCCTTGGAAATACATGGTACATCTCATTGTATTTCATCAAGGGCAAAATGTTTCTTGGTGTAAGTAAAGCAAACTCATAATAACCTACCAGTTATCAGCTCACTTTAAAAAAAAAAGCGGGGGGCAGGGAGGAAGCCCACACTAGCAATGAAAGAGAGCAGTATTTTGAACAATCCAAATACTCTTTTGATTTATGTAAGGAACTAGGGGAAGAAAAAAGACAGGAAAATGTTATGGATACATGAAAGAAATTCTTCTTGGCAAGAGATTTGGACCACCAGAAATTAACTGACTGTTGCAACTTGAAAGTAAATGACAGCTTGAAAGAATGTCATGCTGAGTTGAAGGAGGAAAGGTAGAAGTTTTTAATTAGTTTAATTAAATAATTTAATTAAATAATTTCCAATTATGCCAAGAGGGCTTTGGATTGTTTGTTGCCAGACTGGCCTCTACTTCTTATAAATATCATCTCCCACCCTTTTTTTGAATGGAAGGCTTTTTCAGGATCCTTCGTCTGTATTCCAGTTACTTTTTATTACTGATTTTTTTTGAGTATTTCTGTATGTGTATAGAAAAACATGTGTGTGTGTGTGTGTGTATATATATATATATGTTTGTTTGTGTGTATGTATGTATGTTTCAACCTACCTAATGCCTCACATCCTTTCCAGTCTACTACTTGGAATGGTTCGAGTTAGGTTCTTCTAGCATGCGTGTATTTCTAGCCATGAGGTATTGATTTAATCCTTTTTTTCAAGTGAGTAATTTCATTAAGTTTATCTTTGGAGAAAGGCATTGTTTTTCATTTGCTCATCTTCCTAGAGTAACTTGCCTCAATTTGTCTTTCCTGATCGGAATTAAATTATTGCCGAGTGAAACCATAATAAAAAACTCTGAACTGGCATTTTCATCTCCTTTTACCTCACCAACATAGATGCAAGATAAACAAGAATTAAAAGTATCCCGCTGCTTTTGAAGTTTTAGATTTCCAAGCCCCCGCTGTTGTAAACTTCTGATTGCTACTGCAGCAAAGAAACCCCAAAGTGGTCAAACACCGAGATGGCTAAAGGTCGTTGGGCCCGTCCCACGAGAGGTTGATCGTGCTGGCCCTGCTCCAGAAAAAGAAAGCAAGCTTTCATTGCAGCGTGCACGTAAGTGCGGTGCTGGTTTGGAGCCAAAATGCCTTGGCCCCGCAGGATGAAGCTGTAAAATTCACAGATTCATGGAGAGTCAAGCCAGAGGGGAGCTCCGTAATCATCTGTTGTGACCTGTACTGGGTCTCACAGAAGCTAAATGAAAGACCCCTGTACCTTCATGTGTTTTCAAGTGGCAGCGCATGACTTCTACTGGAAAACATTCCAGTATTTATCATCACTGCTAGGAGAATATTTCACATTTTGAGGCCAGTTTGTCTAGCAGCATCTTCCAGCCATTACACCTCATCCTGCTTTTCTCTGTGAAACTGGAAAGTGTTCTGCCTTCAACTATTAGATCTCTCTTACATGTTTTAAGTGTCTGAACACAGTGCTCGGAGTAGTATCTCTGTCCTTCCACTTCACGTGATAAAAATCTCTCTGCTCTTGTTTAAATTTGCAGCTTGCTATTCATGGTAGTTGAACTCATCAGGATTTCTGCATTTTTATATTTGAGGGATGTTAGAGCCTGATGGTTTCTTATATTGGTCTCTAAGAAGTGTGAAAAATGTGTGTACACCACAGCTACCTGTTGCCTGCAGAATAGATGCAGTTATTTCTTGAAAAATAATTAAATTTACAGCTTCAGATGCCAATTTGCATCAAGCCTTGTTCTTTTTGAGTGCGCTGCCATTGCAGATGTATAGTTGAGCAGGCTCTAATGCAGTGACTGCTATGAAGAAGGGCAGAAGCCTGCTTTTATTTCATTGTCCTGAAAGACGTGGGTCACAGAAATGCCCGGGCAGAGATCGATGGGTAGAATTTGCTCATTGGAGCGTAGGCTGTGTAGTGCATGACGCAACACTCGGCACTGATCAGTAAGTGGAAAGTATTTATTGTGGAAGTTTTCGCAGTCTTCCATCTATGGTGTTTGCCTTCGATTATGTAAACATTATTTCCTACCTCCTGATGGTAAAAATTTACACGGATTCAAACACACAAAAAAGTTAAAAGATCAGCTGGGGGGAGGAAGACACTTGATAAGAAGCAGATGCGTATCTATGGTTAGCTCCAAGGTGAGTTTTCTGCTTCCAGCTTACGATTACAGTTATCCAAAGCCTCCACAGAAAGATTCCTGTCTTTTATCATGCAGGGAAGAGCTTCAGATGCAGTTTCCAGTACTGTTTATCTGACCTTTGAGAACGAGGAGGAAGGAAGAAGCAGCATTTAGAGCAGTGCCCAGTGAAATGATTCACGCTGCATTCAGTTACCTTGACAGGCCTTTCAAACCCTTGGCTGCATTTTGCTTATGTAAACAAGAGCTACAACTTAGGTGGAAAGAAGCAGTGTGGTTGATATTTTGACATTCATACGTTTAAAAACCTCTTTGGCTACGATCAGTAGGGAGTCCAAAAGAGCAGTGCAAAAGTAACTAGATTTTCTTCTTTGAAATCCACATAACACATATATTTCTGATTGTACAGCAGAGGAAAAGGCTTACTTGACTGTTTCTCGGTTTCTAAATTCAGCTGCAGCCTTTTGCCAACTTGTTGCAATACTGTTGTTCTCTCTCATTTCTCTGGGTCCCCTGTGGAGAGCCATGTTTCTGAAATGCATATTGCAGCCATGGGAATCCTGCTGAAGGAAGGCAAATTGCAGGGCACTTTCTGTTCAGCCCTTCATTGGGAGAGGAGAAAGGATATGTGGGTTCTCTCATAGCTCTCTGCTTGTGCAAGTTGCTCCTAATGCGTAAGAAGTATAACCCAGTCCTCCTGTTTGCAACTGCCAAAGGCTGCTTGCTCCATAAATGTACTGCTCCCACTCTTCACGACTGAAATCACCAAGTAACTCACTCCTCAGTTCCTAAAGGAAGAAAAAAACTATTGGTCTCAATTTTTTAACCTCGTAAATTTTGGTATCAAAGGGGAAGAGCAAGACATGGCTGGAGTGGAGCACACCAGGGAGAAAAGCATTTTTCTGCACCTCTGAGTTGCTGCTTTGCCTGGGAGAAGAAGGTGTTGTAAGACTTTTCTAAATTTCCGTGCCTTTAGCTCACACCTAGGATATTTCTGGTTAGCCAAAGACTGCCTTCTCAGACTCTGAATCTAAGACAGTCACTCTAATTGAAAGCTGCAGGCTGGAATCTGTAGCTGGACAGCAGACTCATTACTGGCAAAGCTTCGCACCCCCTCGTGGTGTGTTTTTGGTGGTGAAGCGTACGCATTATCGGTCATGGCCATAGTTAGAGGAGATCGTGAAGGAGTCTAACTTCTAAGGCAAGAGCTCCTGAATTCAGCACCAACTGTAATTCATTCCATTGCCAGAAAAATATCCTGCTGGTGTGTTTGCCAAGGTAGGTTTCTTCTCATGCACTTGCCAGGAGGTGGTTCCCACTGGGCTTGATAGTCAAACAGTGGTGCAGTTAGCCTAGCTCAAAAAGCCTTCTTCTCAGGGCACTGTGTGCCGAGGGAGCAAGAGTTCGTGGTCCCCGTTCTCTTGCCTCTATCTGTGAAATCAAATGCCAGAAAGTTCAGCCTGCAAACCTCCCCTTCTGGATCCTCTTGGCCAGTCACTGTGAACTTAGTCTCCACCTCTGGCTGCTCCCTCTGAAGTTCTTCCAAATCTCTGATCTTGGTAAGGGCCTGCTATGGTGTTTGCAGATTATTCCTGTTTGATGCACTCTCCAATTTTCCAGACCATTAGAAAAGAGGCTTAAGAAAGGTGAAATATGTTTCATATCCCTTAATCTGTTTTCCGTCTTCCTTGCTTTAGGTTCTACAGCAGTACGTTACCCTGCGCTCCTGTGATGCAGGGCCTTGAATGTTGAGCGTTCATCTCCATGTTCTTATATATCTTTTAAAGGAAATGGACTTTCAAGCATTTATTTCTCTAACAGGTGCACACAGACACTGAGATTAGCATGACTAGATTATAGGTGATTTTTTTCTCCACTGATTTTAAAGACACCTTAAACACCATACCTGAAACGTAAACATGAAGTGCAGCGAAAGTCTGCAAATACTCTTCTTTTGAGTTTTATTCCCTCTCCAGGTGCCTGAAACAGTGATTTTCTGGCAATCTGCTGCTTTTTTGAAATTTGTGTCTCTTAAAAGCAAAACAGACAAACAAAAAAACCCTGCTTGAGAATGTTAAACAGCTATTCAGTTAGACTTCCTACTAAAACTAAAGGTCCCTGTAATTGGCACCACCAGGGAGATGCTGCTGGATGAAGCTTCTTGGCAGGTTCTCTTTTTTTCTTTTCTTTTTTTTTTTTATTAGCCACCTATCGCTACTCTGCACTCTGGAGTTACCTTCTTCCAGCTGTTAAGCACTAAGGGAAAACAAGAAACCTGTGAAACAAAACCCACTGTACAGCCTGCAAAGCTGCTGCTCTCCCAAGAACAGCTCCTATTCCCTTGGCTTTCTATGCTTTCT